AATACTTTGACAATAAGAGAAGTTTGCTATAGTTTCACACTTTATTGACACAATAAGCGATATGCAGTGTATCAAATAGATTTAAGCAAATGAGCATCCAATACAAAATAAATTAACATTTATAACTACTAGCAAAATCGATCATACCTAACAACAAAACCATTCAACATAATAGCTTTTCAAAATTTTCATATATTTGTTTACTTTGATTGATTGTGCTCCTTCTTTATTTATGAAGTATTGGTTTATGAAAAATATTTTAAATTTACATAAAATAAAATTATTCCAAAACATGCCACAAACAAAACTCTCAAAACTAAATATCCCGAAACATTTTTGTATATAGTACAACAGACATGAAAATAACATGGCCAAAGTATAAAAAAAAATTGAATATATACGGTTATCAGCCTAGCGAAGCATATACATTTCAAAAAAAAAGAAACATATACATATGATTTAAAAATAATAATTATAACTATAAAGCGAATAAAAATCCATTAAAATATAAATTTGAAAACAACAAACCGAAGATATTTGTGGAACAAAATCTGCGCGTATGCGCGGGTACTCACCTAGTATTATATAAATGTCTAACTTTATACCTGTAATTAATATATTCTAATTAAAAAAATTTAAGGAATATATGCACACAATATCAATAAATATATAAATGTCTAACTTTGGAACGTGATGCTAACTTTGGAAGGATATACCTCTATTGATGCTAACTTAAAGGTTCGATCAAGAAAATCAAAAAACCAAATACATCCATGCAACGGGAGAGACTCGATTAAAAAGAAACAAAGACCATATTTCGATATCCCTTAGTCATAGGAGCTTGGTCTCCATGTTTTTATTTTTCCCATTTGCATAATTACATTTCTGTATTTCTAGGATCCATGGTCGATCAATTTATTTCCTTTGTGTATATAAAGACCTTAGTGTCTAGTGATTAGGGTAGACTTGANAACTTAGAAATGTTATTTGTTCTTGTTATCTAGCTTTGATTTGATTAAAACATGGTAGGTTTGTTATATATTCCTGTGATAAGTGACTTGTGAGTGATATAGTTGAGCCAATTAAATGTCCGAGCTCCGGTGGAAATGGAAATTGAAATATTGTTGGATTAATTGGCTCCAGTGACTACTTGAAAAATTCATGATCTCCACTTGTTGGTGTTCTCTGTAAGCATTGCTCCTTAGACCATAATCAATGGTAATGGTTAAAATTGGGGTGCTAAGTATTTTTTTATTATATGTATTGTATGTAAAATTAGAATCTCATTTTGAAGTGTTAAGATTATTTAATTTTTTTTAACCCATTAACAACTCATTAAAAAACCCATTAAAAAACACTAACATCTCACGTTCATCATGCTCTTACTCTCCATTGAATGTGTTGTGGAGTTGCTTCACGGTTTACTCGTGCACACAAATATTTTAAATATATACTCAGATCGTGAAGCAGAAGTATGGATTTTGGCCT